CAAAATTTGTAAAACACTCATTTAACTCAACACCAAAAAAACAAACAACTCAATTAAAAAATGGGCAGAGGATATGAAGAGGCATTTCTCTAAAGAGGACATACAGATGACCAGCAGGCATATGAAAAAATGTTCAACCTCACTAATCATTAGGGAAATGCAAATAAAAACCACAATGAGATAACACCTCACCCCAGTCAGAATGGCTATCATCAATAAATCAACAAACAACAAGTCCTGGTGAGGTTGTGGGGAAAAGGGAACCCTGCTGCACTGTTGATAGGTTTGCAGATTGGTGCAGCCACTATGGAAATCAGTATGGAGGTATCTCAAAAAACTGGAAATGGAACTACCTTATGACCCAGCAATTCCACTCTGGTATTTATCCAGAGAAACCCAAGACACTAATTCGAAAAAATATATGCACCCCTATGTTCATTGTAGTGCTATTCACATTAGCCAAGACTTGGAAACAATCAAAATGCCCATCTGTAGACGACTGGATTAAGAAACTGTGGTACATTTACACCATGGAGTATTACTCAGCTATAAAGAAGATAGAAATCGTACCATTTGCAACAATATGGATGGATCTAGAGAACATTATGCTAAGTGAAATAAGTCAGTCAGATCAAATACCATATGATCTCCATTATATGTGGAACCTAAGGAACTGAATAAGTGAGTAATGTAAACAGAAATAGTCTCAGAGACACAGAGGAAAAACTGATGATTGCTAGATGGGACGGGGATGGGGATGAGGGAGAAGGGGAAGGGACAAGACAACATAAATTGGTAACTACAATATTGCCTCAGGGATAGAAAAGACAGTTTGGGGAATATAATCAATAATGTTGTAAATATTTTTTAGGGGGCCAGATGGTCTCATGTGTTGTTAGGGAGACCACTTCATGGACAGTGTAGAGGCCTGACCACTGACTGCAATGTACATCTGAAGCTGCCACTGAATAATATTATATGTCAACTGTAATTTAATAAGTATATAGTCAATGGGATGTGGATTATAATGTGGGAATGAAGTGAATGGAATTGTAATAGATATGTATGATATCGGGGTGGGGGAACAGTGAATTGGGGGAGGGAGGTTGTCACTGTGTGAGGGGTAAAAAGGATAAGAATTGCATTGTTTTTGTACACCTGAAACTAATAATAAAATAAAATAAAACATTATGCTGTGTACTCATCCACCTTATTCACTGGATCTGACACTGTGCAACTTCTGGCTCTCTCCCCCAAAGTCAAAATGACCATGAAAGGTAAACATTTTGAATCCATTCCGGACAATGAGGCAGCCATAACAGTGCAACTAAAGACACGAAAGAGGACTTCCAGAACTGCTTCAGAAAGTGGCAAGAATGATGGGATAAGTGTGTTCGGAGTGAGGGGGAGTATTTTGAGGGGGTTTAATGGCAATATATCTTTTACTGTAATAATTTTTTTAAATTTAAATATTCACTTGTATTTTGTGATCACAACTCATATGTAAGCGTTTTATTTTCTTATTCATTCAGCCACTCTGTCTTTTGATTGGAGCATTGAATCCATTTACACTTAAAGCGACTGTTGATAGATGTTTAGTTATCACCATTTTATTCATATTTTTTATCTTCTTTTTTTTTTCTTTTTCTTAAAGAAGTCCCTCTAACATTTCATGTAATACTGGTTTAGTGCTGATGAACTCCTTTCACTTTTTCTTGCCTGGGAAGTTCTTTATCTGTTCTTTGATTCTATATGATATCTTTGCTGGGTAGAATAATCTTGGTTGTAGGTCCTTGCTTTTCAACAAATTGGATATTTCGTGCCAATTCCTTCTGGCTGCAAAGTATCTGTTGAAATCAGCTGACAATCTTATGGGAGCTCCCTTTTTTCTCTCTTTGTCTTTAACCTTTGGCATTTTAATTATGATGTATCTTGGTGTGGGCCTCTTTGAGTTCATCTTGTTAGGCACTCTGTGCTTCCTGGGCTTATATATCTCTTTTCTCTACCAGGTTAGGGAAGTTTTCTGTCATTTCTTCAAATAAGTTTTCAATTCCTTAGTCTCTCTTCTCTTTCTGGTATCCCTATAATGCAAATGCTGGTACATTTGATGTTGTCCCAGAGGTCCCTTAAACGATCCTTATTTATTTATTTATTTTTATTTTTGCTGTTGTGATTGGGTGTTTTATGCCTTCTTGTCTTCTAAATCACTGATTCAATCCTCTGCTTCCTCTAACCTGTTGATTCCCTTTAATGTATTCTTCATTTCAGTTATTGTATTCTTTATTTCTGACTGGTTCTTTTCTTTTTCTGTCTCCACTTTTATGTTTCCTATCTCTTTGTTTAAGTTCTCCCTGAGATCAGTGAGTATCCCTATAACTAGTGTTTTGAACTCTGCATCTGGTAGAATGCATGTCTTTATTTTGTTTAGTTCTTTTTCTCGATCTTTGTTCCTTGCTTTTACTTGGGACATGTTTCTTTGTCACCCCATTTTGGCTGCCTGCCTGTGTTGTTTCTGTATATTAGGGCTGCTATGTATCCCTGTCTTAGTAGAGTGGCCTTATGTAGTAGGTGTGCTGTGGGACCCAGTGGCACAGTCTCCCTGTCACCTGAGCCGGGTGCTCTAATTGTGTCCCTTGTGTGGGTTGTATGTGCCATCCTGTTGTAGTTGAGCCTTGGTTGCTATTTGCACATCAGCGAGAGGAATTGACCCTTGAGCTGATTAGTTGTGAGGACTGACGATGACTGCAGTGGAGGAACTGTGGTGCAGGGGCTGACCCTACAGAGCAGGGTTTGCTTTAGTGAGGCTCTGGTGCCTGCCCAATCTGTCCTTTGGGTATGTCATCTTTGGAGGTAGCCGGGTGATGCTCTGGCTTGGTCTGAAGCTGGCCACCAGGTGTGCCAGCTCTGGGGCCTACTGGGAGGGAACCCTCTGCAGGTCAGGTTTAGCTGCAGCCTGTGCTCTGCTCGGGACCACCTGGTGTGAGCCACAAAGCAATCTGCAAATGGCTGCCACCTTTACTCGGCTTGGAGGTGCCTTGAGAGGCCAATCTAGGAACTGAGGCTGGTTGTTGCTAGTGACAGGCTTAAGGCTGCTCAGTCAGAGTTATGGGACACACCGAAGCCCTGTGCTGCATGTTTGGGTTTTGTGAACTTTTGTGTAATTTTAGGAACGTATGCAGCATGAGGTAAGATAGGCTGTTTGTATGGAAAAGTCACTGGAAGCGGCTTGGGTATGCCTGAAAGTTGGATGGGGTGGGATTTCAGGGAATCACCATGGTGGGGCACATGAAAGGTGATAGCCAATTTTATGGAGACTCAGATATAGCATCTGCCTGTGTCTGCACAAAGGCATGGGGAGGGCTCAACAAAGAAACAATGGCTTCCACCAGTTCCTTTCTCTGGGAGAAAGCTGCCCCTCCTGCCTTCACCTTGAAGCCAACAATTCAGCTACTTACAATATGTCTCTGGCTCCTTTCGAGATGCTGCCCCAGTGCTGGAACTCAGAGTGAGTGAGTCCATCCACAAGTAGGTTTGTGCATGGGCCCTTTAAGAGGAGCTTCTGGGACTTCAGCTATCCTCTGTATTAGTCACAATCTTCACTGGTATTCACAACCAGAAATTATGGAGACTTCTTCCCCCTGGTAGTGGAACCCTGGGCTGTGGAGCCTGGTGTGTTACTGGGAACCCTCGCTCCTTGGGGGTGGGGAGAACCTCCACAGCTGAGATATCCCTTCCAATTTTTGGCCACACTTGGGGGTGGCACCAGCCCGTTCCATGTCTGTGTCCGTCCTATCAGTCTCGCAGTGGCTTCTTCTGTTTGTCCGTAGTTGTAGGCCTTTGGTTCAGCTAGGCTTCAGATGATTCTCAATGATGGTTGTCCTGTAGTTTAGTTGTAATTGATGTGGTCCTGAGAAGAGGTGAGCACAGTGTTTACCTACTCCGCCATCTTGACTGGGAAAAAATCACCTGGAGAAATTTTTATGAGGGGAAAAAAGAATGTGGCTACTAGGGCAATAAGGAAACCTGGAGGTAGTGGCCTTACAGAATTCTAGGGAAGAATCATTTCATTTTCTCTTTTCTGTGGTTTTAGGCAGGTGCCCCTTTGAGGGGTTCCTCATCAGATAGTGAGAGGTCTGCAGTGAGAGGTCATATATGTAAAGAAAAGTTTTTTACCTTTTAGAAGAATACTCTATTTGAATAACTTTCTTATTATGATATAAAACTCTCTTAAGCCCTTTTGTTTTATAATCATTTGGCCCAAATCTGCTAATTCAGAACCAATTTGTATCTAGATGTCATTTTATATTATATTTTATCCCAATATTATGAATTATTTAGTCAAATGCAGTGAATATAATCAGTACAAGCTTAAATTTTTAGGTTAAGAGGTAAAACACATTTATTCTGTAATACTGAAAATCATAAACAGCACTTCTTTTTCTTCCTTAGAAAATAGGGTTCTTCAGGAAGTCAACAGAAAAATAGAACAAATGAATATTTTGCATTCTTAGTGGATTTTGGCTATTCTCCCTCCAATATTTTATTATTGAAAAGTTTCAAATGTACAAATAATTAAAAGAATTATACCCACTAACTACAATTAAGGTTTTGCTGTATTTGATTTATCACATAATCTGTCCATCTAGTCATTCATCAGTTCCTCTTCTTTATCTATTTATTTTTTATGCATTTCAAGTAAGTTGACTGGCTGTTTTTCTAAGCAGTAGTATTTTTGTTATTTTTTCTGAATATTGTAATTGAAATGTCAACACATTTTGTGCATATGTTTTCTGCTGACCCTTTTACCTATTTCTAGAAATCTAAGTTTTTCAATAAACACTGTAAAATTTAGAACATTGAAAAAAGTTTGATAAAGAGTGTTAAGGTTTTATAATTGAGACACATAATTTTTAAAGTTATCAAACATAGTTTCCATAATAATGGTCTTTTAACACTATTTTTCGGTATTCTAAATAAATATTTATTCATATTGTTTTCAGAGTGGAGAGATCAACAGACCAAGTCATCAAGCCAGTTAATGTGGGAGCTCTATCCAAATGGGTTGGGAAGATACCTCCAGATGTTTTACAAGACATGGCGGCAATCGCACCTATGCTTGCCAAACTTGGATATGACCCATATGCCAATCCACCTAACTATGGAAAACCTGATCCCAAAATCCTTGAAAACACTAGGAGGGTAAGTGAGATTTTTTAAGTGAATTGCAAAACCTGGATATGGAATTTGGGTCCTGAAAGTTGTTTATTTTAATTTTGTTTCTTGCTTTTTTATGATCAGAAATTTTTTTTAAATTATAAAAATTTTATTTGTAGAATGCATTATCATCATATGTCTTCCACTGCATTTTAAGGAAAACTAGCTCTTCCCAGGAACTATGGGGACAATTCTTTAATATATTTTGCCCAGTTTCTAGGAATGGTGCTTACTGTTCTCATACAGTAAGAGATGTATTCTCATAGCTGATTACCACAAATTTGCATAAATACCAGAATTAATAGTAACTTTACTAACTTCTAGTTTCTTTTTTCTTTGAATCCAATAAATCGTTTACTTTTTTTTAAAGATTTTTTTATTGGGAAATTGAGGGATGAGAACAGCGCTGGGGAATGGGGGAAGGGGAACAGACAAGTTGCTGTCCTTTTGTTCTTCAGTCTAGTTGTGGAGGACGTTGCTTCACTGGCCCAAGTTGACACCATCATTGCACTCTTCCCGGGCGAGGCAGATCAGTTGACGACTTCTGGATGGCAGCTCACTGCGGCTGCTGGCCACTCACGCTGGCTGCTGGCTACACGTGGTAGCCCATGGCAACCCACTGCAGCAGTGGCTGCAGCCTATGCCATCGCCTGCGACTCACGGCAGTCCAGCTCCAGGTTGAGCTGTTGTTCAGCATCTTAGCTGTGGAGGGCAGTGTCACTGGCCCTCATATGTGGGATCCGAACCAGAGCCCTCTAGCATCCCAAGCCAGCTCTTAACCAACGCACCACTCGGCTGGCACAAATCATTTACTTTTAAATCCTTGTTTAGATGAGGCATGATTTCTTGATACTTGAAAACTAAACATTGGCTACATTAGAATTATTAAACAGATGCAATGAACTACCTCCTGATTGAGAGAAACGTGCTATTAAAGTATTATAGTTTTTCCTTTTAATAATTTATGCTCACATCTTTGTGAAATACTGTTTCAGAAAAGCTGAAAACTCAAAGAGCTAATCTGAATATATGCCTTAACAGTTGTATCTACTTCAAATCAGACCTTAAGGTATTCTTTTTAAAAGTTGTAGTAAAATGAAAGGGTTCCCGGACCCAATTCCAACTTGTGTGTGGAGGCTTCCCCACACCAATAAACAATTCTCTGACACCAGCAGGGTGCCCAACAATGCAACTCAATTTTGGCACCATCTGCCCGGAGATAGAATCAGATTCCACAGGTCAAGGGTTCTTCCCACAAGCCTAGCCCCCACATCAGATAGTAGTCGCAAGCCCAGGTTGTTACCTGGGCTTCTGACCAACCGGCTACAAATCAGAGGTTCCCATGACCACTTTCTCTGGTTCGATTAATTTGCTAGAATGGCTCACAGAAGTCTTAGATTACTGATTTATTACAAAGGAAATTAAAGGATAGGAATCAACAGCCAGAAGAAGAGATACATAGGGTGGGCCCCGAACAAAGGAGCTTCTGTCCTCATGGATCTGAGGCCCAGCACCTTGTAGCATTCTGCTTCCCCGAGTTGGAAGCTCTCCAAAAAGGGCTGTCCTTTGGATTTTTTTTTTTTGGTTTTTTTTTTTTAAAGATTTTATTTGGGAATTGGGGAAGGGAACAGCTTTGGGGAATCAGGAAAGGGGAACACACAAGTTGTTGTTCTTTTGTTCTTCAGTCTAGTTGTGGAGGGCGTTGCTTCACTGGCCCATGTTGGTATTGTGATCATTGGGCTCTTCCCAGGTGAGGCAGTTGCTCGCCTGCCATTGAACTGCCGCTCCCAGCGGCTCCCAGCAGTTCACGAAAGCTCACGCCAGCTGCCGGCCAGCCCCACTGCAGCCTACACCGTCGCTGGTGACTCACAGCAGCCCAGCTCCAGGTCGAGCTGTTGTTCACCATCTTAGGTGTAGAGGGCACAGCGTCACTGGCCCTCATGTGGGATCCGAACCGGGGTCCTGCTGCTCAGAGCTGGCGTCCCAAGCCAACTCTTAACCAATGCATCACTCAGCCAGCCCTGTGCTTTGGTTTTGATGGAAGCTTCATTTCATAGTCCTGACTGTCTTTGGCCACTGGTGATTGAGTCAACCTTAAGCCCCTCTCCCCTCCCTGGAGGTCAGGGAGTGGGGTGGAAAGTTCCAATCCTCCAACCACGAGGTTGGTTCCTACTGGCAACCAGCCCTACCCTGGGGTTTTGGACACAAGTCACCTCATTAACATAATAAGAGACTCCATTTTTGCTCTCATCACCTAGGAAATTCCAAGGGGTTTGGGAGCTGTGAGCCAGGAACTGTGTATAAAGACCAAATATATCTGAGAAATACATTTGACCATCTGAAGGACCAAATATATTTTTATGCAGAGGGTGCCAAAAAATGTATACACCTTTTAAGAAAGGAAAACTGTATTAAAATTGTAATACCCAATAATATTGATAACAAAAGATGAAAACAAGTCATATTTGACTTCTGTAATTACAAGAGGTGCTCAAAGTGGTCACCATCAGCGTCCAGACACTTCTGATTACAGCAAACTACTGCTTGAGCAATGTTGACCAAAGTGTTCACTTTACATTTTTTTGGCACCCCCAGTATATTTCTTATAAATCACAATATTGCACATAATATAAAACTTACCATTTAACAGTTTATAAGTTTACTTGCATTAAGTACATTCACATTGTTGTGTTACTGTCACCACCATCCATCTCCAGAACTGTTTTCATCTTTCCAAACAGAAATTACATACCTGTCACCCATTCTCCCTCCTTCCAGCCCCTGGCAACCACAATTCTAATTTCTGTCTTTAGATGTATTCTTTTTTGAAACTACAATTTAAACAAGACAGCCATGTTAGCATAAGTTCACTGATAGGTTATTTGATTTTGAGATTAAAATCCCTTGCCTTTCTGTTTTCTCTTGTTTATGTCAATGACCCTCCCTCCCCACAACCTTATAATATACAAGGTCTGACAATTTATTTTGCGAATTCATCCTAGAAGAAGTGCTACATACCTCATTGCTGAATATCACTATGGTCACCTTCGATGTAGTCCCCTTGGGAAGCTATGCACCGATACCAGAGCCTGGGCCACCTTTCAAAGCAATTTTGGAACTCTTTCTGGAATGGCCATCAGAGCTGTCGTCGATTACCCTTGATGTCCTGAATGTCATCAAAATGTCTTCCTTTCAATATTTCCTTTATCTTTAGGTAAAGAAATAAATCACTGGGGGCCAGATCAGGTGAGTAGGGAGGGTTTTCCAATACAGTTATTTGTTGACTGGCTAAAAACTCCCTCACAGACAGTGCCGTGTGAGCTGGTGCATTGTCGCAATGCAAGAGCCATGAATTGTTGGTGAAAAGTTCAGGTCGTTTAACTTTTTCACTCAGCCTTTTCAACACTTCCAAATAGTAAGCTTGGTTAACTGTTTGTCCAGTTGGTACAAATTAATAATGAATAATCCCTTTGACATCAAAAAAAGCCACAGTGTTGCAACAAGTTCACGAACTTAATTGTCAGACCTCATATGATATCTTTATTCTGTCTTTTTATACCTTTAATTGACAAATTTATATTTTATGAGGTTAATTTCCAATGTGGATTTTCTTTCTTAGGTATTACTTTCATTTCCCCTTTTCAATCTACTAGTGGCTGTATAGGAAGAGCTATCTTCTTGTAAACTATTATGTAGAGAGGCAAATTTTTTATTTTTAAAATAACATTTGGTTTTTTATAGTTTTCACATATAAACATTTTACTATAAAAATATAAGCTCAGCGTATAAAACTTATAAAATTTAAAAGATAAGAGAATAAAATTCACCTATGATGTTACCACCCAGACACATAGTTTTCTTAATATTTTGATGGATTCCCTTCCTTCTCTGCATGTTGTTAAACAGAGGTAAGAGTACATATATTACAATCTTATCTTTGTACACACATGATTTTGTATCCAACCCTTTTCTCTTAATATTCATGAGCATTTTCCTATTGTGCACAAGCTTTTTAAACATACTTTTTATAGTTATATAATATATCATGACATAAGCCACCTTAAGTCCTTTCTGAAACACAGTAGTAAGTGAATGAATGCACAAATGTTCTCCTAGTATATGTTTTACAATTTATTTTACCATTTTTATTTTGTTGTTTACAATTTTCTCTTTGACAAATTGTGCTACAGTGGACATCTTTGCATATACTACATTTTAGCTTTTTGTTTTTTAGGTTAGACTAATGAAAGTGAAATTAAACCAGGTCAAAGTATTTGATGTTTTTAAGGTGTTTGATATACAGAGGGAGCCAAAAAAATGTATACACATTTTAAGAAAGGAAAAAACTTAAAATTATAATACTCAATATATACTGATAACAAAAGATGAATACAAGTCATGTGTATACCATTTTTTGGCACCCCCGGTATGTTGATAAATTTTTTAATAAGATCTTTTGAACTACCAGCATAATATAAGTACTTTTATTTTAGATTTTTGCTAATTTTAATAGGTTTCATTAACTAATGTAATTGAACATTTTCCAGTTATTAAATATATGTATATATTCTTTTATGAACCATCTCTTAAATTTTAGAATTTTAAAGTTTTGTGAACTACATTGTGCTAAAGATGAGGTGCCCATCAGTCTAGCGTTCATTATCATAGTGCTTAATAAGCTCTTGGTAATTGTTAATTCATAGCTTCTTCCTTTGTACAGTACTAAAATGGATTTTATAAGTCAAGGTGAGGCTTATATTGATATTTAGAGGTTCCCCGAGCAGTAGACAGTTTTCCTACATTCAGGTTGGCTGACTAGATTGTCGTTGGCTTGCTGGAGCGGTAGGTTGGGAAGAATGCTGTGGCTTGGATCCATGTGACTAGAAAATTTGTTTCATACACATTTGTAGATTTTGAAAGGATTTTTAAATGCACGGTGGAAAGAGCCTCTCCCCCAACTCTCCCACCCCCAATTTCTGTCTATC